GAATCAATTTTAGACGTACTACCTGGGATGAAATACTTCAATCTGAAACATATTTTCTATGATGATGCATACTTGTTTAAAGTCAACTGTGATTCCAATATAAAACAATGTATGCAATTCTAATAATTCTGTCGTAGAGACTGGGATGGCCCCAAAAATCATATTGCAGGCAGAGAGACAGCGACTCATCCCCCATCTGTAGAGCCACTACGTAACTGTTACTGGACCTACGCAAACACAAACCTCTCGCGTCGCACGGCCCTGTACCTCTCCTGTTCACGTGAGAGGCTATATCAGTTGTGGCCGAGGTGGCATTAGGTTAGTAGAAATGATCAGCGCCTTCCTGGTAAATATTTTTTTTTAACTCCAGTTTTTTTTGTGACAAGAGTTTCACCAGTGTATTACCGTACGTGCATGGGCAGTCGAATGGTATTATCTTCACTCTTTCCCGAACCTTCATCGACCTTCATGTCATCACGCTCGAAATTTAGTTATAAACTCTCTGCTTTTTCACTGCTGTTTCACTAATGCTATTCCAACGAACATTTGTTGGCCGCGTTCGTGCAATCGGCGGTAATCCAGGCGGAAGGCATCAACGAAGATCACGTCCACGTCCACCTCACTCCACCGCTCGTGCACCGCATTAATTTTTTTATGTCAAGTGGAAATTCATTGGGAAGGAGGTCCAGCTTTCGCATCGTCCCGGCCTCGTGACGTCATCCTTCGTCTTGCGAGATCGAGCTTTGTGCCGAGGATTACCTGAGCATGTGTTCACCTCGTCGGTCGTTCCCTTGATCGTCGAGGATCTTGGGTGAAAATTACTCGGTTTGTGTGCTCGTGTATTGGGTAGATCCTCCATGGATGCGCCGTGCATTTAGTAACTTTCTTTGAAGAAATATTTCAATTTATGGCGAGATATGGCTTTCCGTTCTGCATTTTTATAATTAATGAAGTCAGGTTTCCAAGTATTCGTTAAGAAACCCGAGTGAGATTAATTATGCATTTCGATGCAACAGACCATGGATCTCCACCGTCATCGGACATTTAAGACCACCAGCATCATCATCGTGTCCAGAGAAAAGTTCGCGAAGGAGTATTTCATATCAGTCTCCACTACTTTGAAGCACTAAGAGTTTGAAGTATTAATAAAAGGACATTGACATTCAGGATGCAGGCTCAACTGTCTCCATCCTTCTTCATCAGGTTATTTGTTTAGCCAAGCTCAGCGTCGTCACCATTGATCGGAGCAGGGTTGGATTGCCAAGCATGGGTGTGCCAATAAAACCGAACCGGAAATTCAGCGAAATTATTGCAGTATCTGAAGACCCATTCATGCTGCGTATGGGGTGATACCCACAATCCTTTAGACTTTGGGAGGAAAGGACAATTTTCACTTTTCCCGGATGAGATCCTTCTGCATCATTTCTTGTTGACTGGAGATATTTCGATGAGTGTTCGTAGATATGAAAGCCCATTTCCGATGACTCGTCAGGTTGTTATCTCCAACCTCCTATCGGGAAGAAATTCCTTGATAGCTGAGTTGACAATGCTGGTTCATGAGAATCTTCCCACCGCACTGACAGCAGGAGAAAGCTGACGCTTTTTTAGACAATCTTGGAGAATATAAATGCAAAGATCATCCGGAAAATGGGGGAATTTAGCATATATTCCGTTGATACAATAATGTCTGGCATATTCCAATAGCAATCTGTAAATGTAAATAAGATGTTGATCCCGTTGCTGTAAGAACTGGATGGAAGAAAAAAACACATCCTGTTTCAGGCATTGTAAAACGTTTGCTCTTTGCATTATATTCGATTTGTTACCCAATGCCTCCTTATGTCTGTGTGCTTATTATTATGTTCTTAAGCATGCAGTGTCATCATCTTGTATCTTTCAAATGAAAAGTAATTTGGTTCAAAGGTGCTTTTCAAAGAACGACTGGAGGGGGAAGAGACTTCAAAGTAGGGATTCAACGACTTCAAGGGAACTGTATTGTCTTCCTTCTCCAATCTTTATACTCTTAACACAGCATTAAATTCAGGTCTTATCTCCCCACCTAAGGGGTGAAGGCACAACACAATCAAGAATACTATGACGAGGACATTGCATAAAAAGCAACCTACATAATTGGAGATATCGGTAAATCGAAATGATGCACTTTGGTCAATCTTTGCCTTTTGTTTTTTTTTTTTTAAGGGGAAAAGTTATCAACATGGAACTCTGATTCTTATCAGTGTATTCCCGACCGTGCCGAGTCGCCTGCAAAACCAATATGCGTCTACAGTCGTGTTGAGAGGGGGCGGTTTGAGTCCCGTCTGTCCTTGAAATTTCCGCTGGAATTGACAATCAGCATAAATTTCGATTAAAAAAATTATGCGTGCGGCCCGCAGGCATCTGTAGGGTAAGGAATGTGGCATACCGACAAAATTGAGTTTGACAACCCTGGTCTAGACGCATGTCGACCTCCGTCTTCTACTTCATCGTGTCGAAGCAGGGCCCCTTATAAACCCTAGGGGCAATGCATTCACTGTTGAGGGATTCTAACGCAAGCGCGTGAGAGTGCATGGTCTCTTCGCCCATAGAAAAGCTGATACGCTTAAACCGCATCCTATCCAGGAGGAGAGCTTTTTCACGCCCAAAACGCATCAACTTGATGGACTGAATATTCTAAGCGCATGGTGTCAAAGGATTCAAAATCTTAGCAGCGCTGAGACCGCATCCACCTAAAGCGCGGAAGTAGTTACATGTTATGAATGCACTTTGAACGACTGTTGCTTTTTTCAGACACCCAGAGACACTCGAAACTAGAGGAACAGGAAACGAGTCTTGTAGTGTTTCCAATGTAATAATATCAGAGACCTAAATTTTCTAAAGAGTGTTTCAGAAGGCGTCAAACAAGATGCTTTGTTTTTTGCTTCACCAGACATGAAGTGCTTATTTACAAAAGGCCTCAGCGATCTGCTGAGCGACAACTCCCCTTCTACTGCCGTTATTGTGCTAATTTGTGATGCATCCATCAGGAGGAGATGATTGGAGAATCCCTATGGTGATGGCAATGTTGAAAAGAACGAAGACAGAAAATGAAACGATCCAGGATGCAAGAAACTATTCTATAGTTCTCTGTCTCCACCTGACGATAGCTTCGGTTTATCCACATTTCCTTCTCCCATTCCCGCTTCTCCTGGCCTTCCGTTAGAGGAGAAACCCCAGTTTGGGTCAAATCCCTCTCTACAGAAAGGAAATTTAGCAGTCATGGTGTCTATGTGTGCAGAATCGAATCGCGCATGCTGAATCGTTTATTTAAAAAAAAGCAATAATTAGTTGAAGAAAGGACAGAGTATTCCGTCGAATAGGCATAAAGGAAGTAGGTTGTTGATTTCCTTAGATTTTCAAGAATGAAATCTAGCGACGTTTTTTCATATCTATAGAAACATCGATGCGAATATCGAAGTATTCTACTCTCACATCGAACCATTCATACGACCTTGCAACGTTGAAAGATATAGGGTGGATCAGAAAAAAAACGCTCTACTGTTTTCTATGGGAGAAACACGGTTTCATAAATGCAGCAAAAAAAATTACGGAGGTGTAGAAAAGCTCGCCATCTTTTTTTCAGCACCTCTGCTAAAGTCGTGCTATGCCCAATTAGAGGTGAATTAAAGGTGCTTAAAGGTGAATCTTTCCACTTCAAGTGAGGTGATGTGCTCAACCGTCTCAGAAATCAATGAACTTTTCAACTTCAACTTTTCAAGGGACAGTTGGATCCAGCTGATACTTGACAGAGAGGTCAATGAGTCTAAGAGGATTTTTCGCTTCCGCAAGATGGCGCTGTATCCTGATAGAGGGCGCTGTTGTAGACCGGGTGACTAAGGATGATTTAAAAAAAATGTTTAGTGCTCGACCTGCAACCTGCGTAACGGGACAACACATGGCTCAGAGAATTGTTCAGAAAACAAACCAAGACAATCTTCTCAACACCGCCTATATGTCCAATATCGAGAGTCTATGAATCTTATATTTTTTACTCAAATACACAAATCGTACTTTCTCCCCTTTGAAAACAGTGAAGCTTTTTTAATCACCCTCGATCACCCGGTCTACAACAGCGCCCTCTATCGGGATACAGCGCCATCTTGCAGAAGTGAAAAAGCTTCTTAGACTCATGAACCTCTCCGTCAAGTATCGGCTGAATCCAACTGTCCCTTGAAAAGTTAAAGTTGAAAAGTTCATTGAATTCTGAGACAATTGAGTACATCACCTCATTTGAAATCGAAAGATCCACCTCTAAGCACCTTTAATTCACCTCTAAATGGGAATTGCACGACTTTGGCAGGGGTGCTGAAAAAAGCCGGTGAGCATTTCAAGACCTTGTAAATTTCAAGTATTGATCGCGTAATCAGTGTAATTTTTTTGCTGCATTTCTTAAACTATGCTTCACTCATAGAAAACGATAGTGTTTTTTTTTTAACCACCCAATATATTACACGCTAATGTATGTTTCTAAGTCGCGCTGTGAAAATATGCTAATGAATATCCTGGCATGTTATGCATCGTTTGAAAGATTATGATCAGTAGGTGTGCACCGAAAAATCGAATTTAAAATATTATCATTGGAGGGGAAGTTTTAAGCTATTACATTTTTCACAACTGATGCGCCCGGTAGAGCACTGCACGGGCCGATTTCCCGATACCCGACCCGATAGGTCCGATTCAAGTCATGGTCGGCAATACGTATTCCAACCCAACTTCACGGCCCGACCCAACTCGACCCGAGATTACTTCCTTCCTTCATTTATATTCATGATCACACAATTTAGTATTTTCCTTATCTCAGATTACATGAATAAATAAGATTCAAGTCCTGACACGGAGTTTCCATGGTCTCAGACCAGAGGAATGATAACATTTAAAAATTAAATGTTAAAATGCGGCCCTATCGAACCCAAAGAAGGATCTTGAAAAGTTCGGTCTTGGACGGCCCGGAAGCCAGGTCGGGTCTAAGGGAACGGGTCGGGGCCACGGTACATGTAGGGCTCTAACTCCCGATTACTCTAATAGCAAAAACAGCAGCTGTTTTACCCATGAAACGCTAAGAACTCCTTCTTTACCCCCTGGAATGTCATAACATAATTGGCAGCACGCGTAAAAATAACATGTTTATAGAAACGTGCGCGTTTGTTAACGTATTTGCATGCTTGTTTGCATGACAAAATCATCAATTCACTGATCAACGAAAACTTCAAGTAAATATGCGAACTAGAGCATTGCAAAAGACGTATTATAACATCGACAGTGTGGTCACGAATGATGAAGAAGAGAAAAATAATTAACCTATGGAGTTCTTCAACAGTTTCACTCCAGCTTGGCCTGTTCCCCAGAAATTGACTTTAAAGAGTGGTATAATCACCATGCTCCTCAAAACCTATATGGTGAGCAAGGCCTTCATAACGGAATTCGAGTCTCAGTTGTGCGACTACATGAGAACTGCTGGACCAACGAGGTACTTGGAAGTGGAGATGTTGACTGGCAAAGCTAAAGGTTAAAGAGTGTTGTTCCCGCGTGTTCACTTGGCTCCGTCAGACCCGACGATGCCTCTCGTGATCAAATGGCGACAGTTTCCAACCCGTGTTCCTTTAACCATGACTATCAACAAGAGTCAAGGGCAACCATTCAAACGAATCGGATTGTACCTTCCTAAACCTGTATTTTCCCAGTAACAGTTGCATTTAGCTTTCCCAAAAGTACAGCGCTCCCAAATGTTAAGATGAAGATTTTACCTCGACCTCGATAAGGCCGATACCCAGGCAACGATGGCACCTATGCACTGAATGTCATGTTCTCAGAGGTTTTGAACTAAAAATAATGTACAATTCCTTAAAGTCAATTTCTAAAATTCATGTAAAATGAATTTTACATGAGTTCATCAATAAAAAATCATAATACACAATTTCTATACCTACTGTTCTATGGTGGAGTTCAAAACATTTATCTTCTGACCATATACTCTACCTTCAGGATATTAAGTACTGTATTTGCGGTAAAATCAGCAAATCGCTACATTGTCATTCCGCGAAATTTGCGCGGAGCTCTGCTAGTAATGGATATTATAATGTGTATGGAGATTATAATGTGCTATGGATATTATAATGTGTGACATTTTCATGCAGCATTCTGTAAATGTAAATAATTGCTGTGGATTCCGTAGCGGTACGTATTGGATAGCACAAAAAAGCCCGTTCGTGTTCGTTTGAGCCATTATAAAAACCTACTATAAATAATGCTAGGTATGTCTGCTTCTTTGCATTATGCAGAAAACACTTGAAATTCTAGGTTGCTTGAAAAGCAACATTTTCTGAAAAACTTCCAGAAGAAAAGAAAATTCCGCTTTTCCACGAATTGGGAGGGAGCAGTTTCAACAGTGCACTCCACACGTTCCATATTTGTCGCCAAAAGCCTGCTTCTTCCGGCTTTATACTTATTGTAATGTACTTAAATATGGAGTGTTACCACGTTGAATCTTTCAAAGGAAAAGTAATTTCGATAAAGGGTGTTTTTCAATGAAGGGCTGAAGATGGAAGATTCTACAAAGAAGTCCACGACTTGATAGGAAACTCTATTATTTTCTCTCTCCAGTCCATACTTACCACACCATTCAATTCTGGCCTCACCTCTTCACCTGAGGGCTAAAGACACAACGCAATCAATGACACTCGTACTATGACGAAGACATGACAAAAGAAGCAGACTTCATGGCAACAAAGGATTTAAAATCTTAGCAGTGCTGAGACTGCATCCAACTGAAGAGTGAAAAAGTTTGACTTTATGAATGCACTTTGAATGACTGTCGATTTTTATTCGCACAACCTAGGCATTTGACATTTGAAAAACAGAAAACAAATGTTCTAGTGTTCCACTGTAATGCCATCTAAAATAAAATCATGAACTAGCATTTTTCAGTGCTTCATGAGGCGTCAAATGACATGTTTTTTACGACACACGGTACAAAGTAATTGTCTATGAAGGCTTCAGCCATCTACTGTGCGACTACTCCCCCTCTACTGCCTTGATTGAGCTAGTTTGTGCTCTATCCAACACGAGGGGATGAAAGGAGAATCCCAATGGTGACGGAAAAGTTGAGGAGAGCAAAGAGATAGAGAAAGAAACGATCCAAGATGCAAGAAACGATTCTCCAGTTCTCCATGTCCACCTGACGATTGCATCGGCTGATCCACATTTCCGCCTCCCCTTCCCGCTTCTACTGGCCGTCAGTCAGAAATGGAACCCCACTCAGGGTCAAATCCCTCTCTGCAAGAACAAAGTAGGCAATAACGGTGCTTGTGTGCCTATGGAATCAAATAGCGCCTGCCGATTTCATAATTAAATACAATAAATAATTGAAGGAATGACAAAGTATTCCCGTCGAATTGACATGAAACAAAAAGGTCCTTGATTTCCAAGTCGATAGCTCCAATAATGAAATCTAAGATACTTTTTGATATATATAAAAACATCGATGCGACTATTGAATTATTTTACACTCAATTGGTATCATTAATCCGACAGTGCAAAGATTGAAGTTCGAAAAAGTCTCTTCAAAGTGGCTCTAACTGACGAATTTCGTTTATGCATTTGCACCAATATACAATCTGAAGCGGGCAATGATGAAGACCTTCGAATGTAAATCAGGTAATGGTGCCTGAGACTTTCGCGAGTTTAAAGTGCGAAACCGCTGACCGGACTTTTCCATGACGAAGGAGTCATTGAACGTATTTTTCCTTAATGAACATTTCCCAGACAGGTTCTTCCCCGATCGGAAAATTCACCTATAAGTCATTTCCCGGAAGTAATCATCCTCGCCGGAAACTTTCCGCAGGAGATTCTCCCGAAAAGTAAACAACTAGTACTCAATGTCAACCATCAATCTTCATTCTTCAGTCAACACTTAACAAGAAAAGGAAATTTAAAACGACGTTACTACGACCTATCTGCCCTTCAGCATGTCGTTAGACCAAGGTCTTTATCTGGAGTCCAGGTTGCAAACTCTCTGCTGAAAAAAAAAACAGTACGGTGAATTTTCTTTCAGGAAGAGTCGTGAATCAGTGATACTGCTCATAAAATTTCATAGAAGCAATTTTTCTTGAAAGAGTTTATAGTGAGCAGATGTCTAACGTACCAGTCATCGAATCCTTCCATATGGGTCCGACTGGGCCCTTCCAAACATGGCGTCTACTCGACTTCGTCTTAGAACCGAAGAGAGAAGGAACTGGTATCCCGTCGGAAAATTCCATCTTCCCTTTCTCGTTCTCACATACTCCCATCATCACCTGCGAATACATCATGAAACATGTGCACCCGCAAACTTCTATTGGATGTGATGGAATGAGAAACGCACGGTGCGGAATCTTGGCTCCTTCATACACGTAAGTTTGGCCAACAACCGACACACGATCTGGATCCGAAGGGACACCTGGATGTCCCTCAGGTGATGAATGTATAGGATGAAGCTGCTCAACGCCACTTCCAATGACACTAGGCAGATGCTTGCACAGTAGGTATTTTCCTGCAATTATCGTAATAGCATGAACTTCTCCCATCTTGAATCGGCATGCCGCATTTGTGCTATTGAATCTTCACGGTTGTTGTTTCAAAATTATGTTGCAGCTCTGATTCTTCAAATAATTTCATTCTGTAATTTGAGACCTAAAATTAAGCTGCGAAAAATCACAAAAACAGAAGAACTTGATGATATTCCGCACCAGAACTGTACAACTGTAAAATAACAAATTTCGAGGAATTTCACGGTATTGCAGAATGAAATTTTGGTTCATGCATTTCCCCGGCTCTATTGCATGCAACGTGTTTCATATTGATTTTCTGTAGAAATATGTTCAATATTTCTATATCATGCCGTTTCCTGCCCGACGAAATACAATGTCTAATTCTTGTCATTGTTTTTTTTCCGATCGCAAAAATTGACTATTGGATCGAGTGCACTGTCCAAGAGTGATGGAGATTCCATGGTTGAACATAGTACCTATGAGAGGCATATTTTCGGAGGGCGGGAGGACATCACGGATGGTCATGAGGAATACGATGGCCGTGAGCATGGCGGAGATTCCCAGCGTCACCTTCTCCCCACTCTCGCTCGGCATCAGGAACGCTAGAAGGGCTAGATACAAACCGACCACGCTCTATCGTTCGCTCTCGAGTGCTTCTCGTTACTTCTAGACACAAGGAGATATTGGTGTCATACCAAGGATGTTGATGACGACCATGGGAAGGACATAGCTAACGACGAAGAATGATGTACGGCGTTTGATCAGAATGGCATAGGTCACTGCGGAAAAGGGATTCGGACAACACGGATCCGGTTCCAAACTCTTCGTTGCCTCGTAAGATTCTAGTGTGAACTCCTCGTTCTGAATATATGACATCAGCTCCAACGTTTTGTTATGGTCCGATTCCATCAGGATCTGAAACGTCTCTTTTTGTTGCTATTTGAAAAGTTTCTGGTGCATAAGGGCATATGCAGGATGAAATTGTGCACAAATGACCATATTGAGGATGTCCATACATAGGATTTTCATTAAAACCGACATGCACATTTCCTTTTATGAGTTAATAATACTTGCGTGTGTTTTTTTAAATGTCGGCCTTTAGGGCTGAGTCACGGTCTTGAGATATTTTCTTTGAGGGCACAGCTTCGAAAATGCACTCTAATGCTAAAAATTGATTAATGAAAAAATGTGCTATATGAAGAAAATCGAAAACAATTTGGCATGTGAATTCTAAAAACTGAAATAGCAGGTATTGCCTTCTCATTTAATTGTGGTCATAGGTGGAACAGAATTACATCAAACTTGCGGACTATGCAAGAAATAGGCAGTCGATGGCGGATTGATGCTAATCTTACTTCTGTCTCTGGAAGAGATGAGGGAGCATATCACAGCACCCAATGCAACTGGAGATATTCTATGTAATTGATACGATGCGCATGTGAATAGATGTGGGGCATCATGTTTGCAAACATGTACAGGGCGTTTCAATAGTCACTTCTGCTGTTCAGACGACTGCCTCCAGGAAACCGAAGGACACAACGTTCTGAAATTTGGAGTTTACACCAATTTGACCATGCGGAAGAAAACGTACGGTCATGTGGTTGTTTATGATGGCATTATGGTCGCACTAGATGGTACCTATGATTCATTAATACCATACGTTTTTATAATAGCTGTTCGATATGCCTTCCTTTTGTGATAATCATTATCTCCAATCATGACAACGCATTCAAAACTGTTGCCCGAAGCATATCAGGGTGTATGGAGCGGACTGCCGTATGCTCTCCTTCAACTCGTGGCATATGGTGAGGCCATTGCGAAAACTCGGCTCGTGCCGCCTTGCCTCTTGCTGTGTTGCCGTCGGTAAGCAAGTAAAGCTACTTTGTTATGCCTGGAATTTTCATATCTTACCCGAATGACCTCAATTCTCAGCTTCAAACTCAGCATTGGCCGGAAAGGGAGCGAGCAAGTTACCTTGGTCATGTCCTGGGACCAGGACCCAAATGGCATGGTGCAATTCTGGATATCGAATGGGAAATAGGTGACGTCAACGTCGCAAGTGGAGCGGAAAATCGCACCAGTGAGCAGGGTCACCTCGCCCGTCGAGTTCACGATCGCGTTCGTCGTCAGCAGCCGTTCTGCGTAGTTCGTCGATGCACTGCAACGAGCAACAAGTTCCGCCATAATATACTCACTTTGGAACTACTGCGAGTGAACGGCGTGGGAATTCCCTTGCTTGATCAGCATTCACTCGGCTGTTTCCCTCTTACTCTGCTCTGCACACAGCAATTACGCTTAAAAAATTATTCGAATTTTCTGATACTTCGTTGCAAAAATTTCCGCATAAGAGCGGAAATACAGATTGTGGCTGATGTTCGTACCACATATCTGGGACATCCAGGCTGGCTTGCTTGCAGACACACCAGTGCACATACAGTGGTACCTCGCATAACGAACGCAATTCGTTCCAGCGGTGCGTTCGTTATGCGAGGTGTTCGCAAGTGAAAGTGAAACATTTTTTCCTAATTTCCTTGATTTTTCGCGGCGACGTGGAACGGATTATATGATTTCCCATAGAAGTCTATGGGAAATCGTGTTTCGCATAACGAACACCTCACATAACGAACGCACCGCTGGAACGAATTGCGTTCGTTATGCGAGGTACCACTGTATTTGCACAGCTGGTCGTGCCTGTACAAGTACTCCCTCGGGGCTAGTTCGGGGCAGGCACTGAGGAGGTGGTGAACCGTTTCGGGTGGTCCATGACAGCATCTGCAGCGGTCTTCCACATCCAGCTTCAGGATGTGCTTCTCGTAGTTACGAGTTCTAATGCACTGGTCCTGAATGGCTAGGATGTTGCTCTTTGTCTCGGCATTCAACAGTTCCTTCTTCAGCCAGTTGTAGTTGAAGTCCGAGTCGATGGATGGTTTATCCATGAACTTGGGATGCTGGCCGTGAAGCGGTTTCTCCTTCCATCGTGCCTCTCTTTGTACTTGGTCTGCCGTCTTCACATCCTTCGTGTCGCAGTCGTCATGGAGATGGAGTGCGTTTCGGAAGCGGGTGGCATCTCCCTGGATGGAGTGGGATTTCTTTAGGGCATCTTGCTCTCTCAGGATGGAAATGAGTCTTCCCTGCTTCCCTACTCGTTCATGGATGGGTAAGGATGATGATTGCCTACTACCAGTACTACCTTGCCGTACTACAGTACTACTGTAAAAGCGCTTGCACGCACAGTGTGAAATGAGTGGAATGAGTCGCATGAATATTCATCCCACAGTCATGAAACATTAATCGATTTCATGTCATGAAAGTTCGAGTGTGTGCACCAAGTTTCATCAAGATCGCTCAGCTCCCTTGTCTTCCTTTTTTTGGGTGATGAGAATATGAAATCATTGTTTATGCCACAATTTCTCACATGCAACATGAATGTCATGCTCATTACCCTACTCCTTGCAATTATGTCCACAATGACAATCGAGGTAGGGGAAAACAAGGAAACTCGAACGCTTCGGGAATGTGCAACTTGACTCGAACGCTTAGACTTAAAATGTATCGACTGCTCGTTCGACGTCCTCTCATGCGATTAAACTATCTTGCTATAGTTTCCCTGTTGTATCGAAGATGCCGTGGTTCTGATTTCCTATTATATTCCGATCGTGAGAAGAAGTACGAGTGCAAAATCTGAGCGCGCTCAGATATTGGATATGAAACAATCGTGTATCAGTTGTAGGGTATCTCCAGGAAAAATGTTCCATAGAACTACGTTTTCATGCACAATTTAGTGTAAGAGTTCCTTTAGAAATATGTTAATGGTAGGTTAATATCCCACCAGTTTTGATTGATTATGTGGTAAGACATAGACCTAAGCGCATTTTCTGTTTAACGTTGCAAATCCACAGCTTCACGAAGAAAACTGAGAAGGGTCGCAAAAGTAACAGCATCGGAAACAGAACCGTACTAAGATCTCAAGAAATTTATGTTTCTGATGTTGATAATCCAGGCAGCTGAAGCACACCTCCCTTTGCGTATTTTGATCAAACGTTTGCTGGTTTTTGGTTTTTTTGTTTTCGCTTTTTCCTTTCTCATTGTATTTTTTTCTATTAGAATGTTAAGCCCCACTTAGTTGCGTTCGAATCTCAAGGCTATATTCTTATTCCAGAAAAATAAATCCCTCGATTCCTCGTAGGTTTGCTTTCTCTTACGGAAACAAAAAGGGGTGGCAGAATGTGCGAACAGATCCGGCAAAAACTAGTCACTAGAGTAGCTGAGGCTGGCTGTAGAGATTACGAAGTGAAATGAAGAAATTCCGCGTTCGAGTCACGGAGCGCATCCGTTCGACTCAATATGCAGCAGGTACGATTATGGCATGTCCCATTTCGAGGGGCCATGCACACCCACTTTCCGTCACTGAAGATTTATTCCTACCATAACATGACCCTTGAAAACAGGTAGTTTCAGAGAGGGGCGAAACAAAATGATCGCCCCCTGGGCTGCCCATTATGGGCTGAGGGAAACGCTGGATTCGATAATTGGACGGAAAAATAGTTGGAGCTTCGTAGTTTTCCCCTATTTCCACTTGCATTTTCGGCATCTACGAGACGCCGAGAAACCTTTCCCCTTTGAATAATACGACATAACGGAGGAAAGGTTTTTTGATCATAGCAGACCATTTTCAAGGAGGAATCATTCCAACTATCGATAATTTTGTATGCCGAATCCTTGTTTGTCTTAGTTCTCTCATTCTGTCGAGGTCTCATGAACTTAAAAGATTTTCAAACCAACCAGTGTCAGCCTTCACATGATTCACAAGAAGCAGATGGGCCATGAACACATCTTTGTTGAAACAATTGCCGAGAGGCTCCTGCATCGTCATTTCCACTCCATCTTTCATCGCGGGTCCAAGATGCCTGAATCGTGTGAGGAATACCGAGCATAAATGCACCATGAAATGTCGGAATTGAATCAGTGGAGGAAAACTGGAAGCAAATACGAATCGGCTTTTCTCTTATTTTTTATTAACTCGTCTAGACAAGTACCGACTAGTGTAGACTGAGTTCCTGATCATCATCGCCAAAGTTGAACGTAGGACCATATGCGAGGGTTCGTGGGAGAAAATCAAATTCACCAAAGCCACCAACACGATGCGACCGTTCTCGCCATCAGAGAACGAAGTGACAAGGCCATGGAAGAATCTTCCTGCGATCCCAGTCCTCTGTACACGAAAGCAGTCGTCGGTCAACGGAGACGTGCAGTTCCTCAGGCGGACGTGGACGTGGAGCCTGCTGCCCGCGCAGGCTCGGGGCAAAAGTTATCTGACGGTTCACGAGAGAGCGATGCAGGGCGATTTCTCGCTCTGAAGGCGATTTTTAGCCCACCCCTTCCTCTGCGGCAGAGTTTTTTGAAGAGCTTCTAATTTCGCGTTTGAGAATAACATGTAGCAATGAATCACTTCGAAATTTTTTCCATGTTCCTTTCCCGTTGAAATAATCCAGCTGGCAATCTACGCCTAAAATATTGTAAGACAACTTTGAGACGCTTTCCTTTAAATATCGTCATCATGTAGTGCAGCCGTTTGGTGGTCCGGAGCCCAGGAGAACCAGGCTCACTGGAGCCTATAGCGATCTTGCATTCATGATAAACTTGCTATACTTACTGTGAACTACTGATAAGAAAAATTGTGGATCATACTTATGGTCGATGTCTTGACTTGAGACTAGGTTGTGGTTTCTCCTTGGTCACTAGGACCGCCTTTTAGTCATTCTCTTCTCATCGCACCACTCAATAGAAACTCCTCGGAACCAATATGTCTGAATGCCTTGCTCCGCTGGGTCTCACAAGCGAAGTAACGGATGGTTTTGCAACTGTCCGTCTCAGCATCGAACCCTCTTGAGGTACTTGTAGTCTTTCATATAATTGCTCCCTCTAACAAGACTTGCTGTGCTTTTGTTTTCAATCGCAGAATTGAAAAATATATATATATTTAAGTATTAACTACAGATAATTTCCATGGAGGGAAAGGAGATGCTCCAGCGCCCTGCCTTCCAGACGAAAGACGGAATTCCATCCTGTCAGAGACGAGAAGAAACGGGCGCTACTCGCAAAGAAATTAAATATCCATTGACCCACTAATGCGACGATGATGTCCACTGCCTGCACACATTTTTCCTTTACTGAACGTTTACTTGCTGCTTTACGAATGATTATTTCCAAACGGAATTCCATCTTCCTTATTTTCATTCCTATGAGTGCTACATCCATGCCATATTTCATTGTACCATTGCTCACAGCACCACGAGAAATTTTTTGAAGACCAATTCATGTTGCCAAAGAAGTGAAACCCACAATCCCTCAGACTGTAAGTAGGAAGTTTTTGGTTTACCTTTGTACCATCCAAATGGGATGCTTCAACATCATTTCCATTGACTGGAGATCTTCAAACGAGTGCTCGCAGATATGAACGCCCGTTTCCGGTGAGTCGTGAGGTTCTAATCTCCGACCTCCTATCGTGGAGAAAATTATTTACAGACGAGTAAGCAATACTGATACTGAGCATCTAACCATGAGGTTGACAGCAGGAGATACGCGGCGTTTTTGCAGACAAGCTCGGAGTTGATAATGCACTAGCAGCAGAGGGTGCCTATATAGTGTGTGCATATATGGTGTGCGGTATACTGGTTTAACAGATTATGTGAAGAATTGGAAAGGGTCCTGGGGGTATTTATAAGTTAGCTTATTTTCACGAGGCCTTTGGAACAAGTAACGGAAGCAGTTACATTTCCTTCCCGTTTGTGCCACTCTAGTTGTCAGCGATGCTCAGTGATAGTTTTTTTTTCCGCAACGGTTTCGAATCGTTCCTCTATATCCAGAAACTGAAATGAACAAATGTTTTTCCTTCATCTGTACTCACATCGGTTGCGGTTTCGCTATCGGTTCCTAAGTCCTCTCTTCCATCTGCTCCACGTTCTCCTTAAGTTTTTGGTTCCTGATTTCGCTTCAGTTTGAAGTCCTGGCTAAAGCGGTTATCCGCATATTTTAAGTGATAGGCTATTAGTGGTAGCTGTGTTCGTGTCACTAAACGCGATTCGCCGTACACGAATTCGTGCAGAAATGGCAGACACAGCACTCGTGGCGCTAACATCAAGTCGAGCAGCGAGTCTCTTTCGGAGTCTAGTGGCAGTGGGAGTCGGTTACGGCTACGTGGCGGCCCCGCTAAAGGCAGCTTGGGACTGGTTGACGGGTCTCTTCGTCGGTAAGAAGATCCCTCAGTGTTCCTTCATCCAGGGGACGGCCGCGATCGGGGAGAAGTTCTACCGGGAGCAGCACTCCCGTCACACCGACAGGCCGATGCCGGTCAAGTTCGGAGGGAAGGGAGTCATACAGATCACGGGGATCGCCGTGACTCCTAAGGATGAGAAGACGCCTTCTCCGGAAGTGGATGTGATGGAAGGGGGCGTGAATTACGATCACGTCCATCTTCAACTCGTTCCTGTCGACAAGGAGCCTTGGGGATGTAACGTCGACATCTGTTATTCTTGAGCATTCTACTACGACATAAAGTTTCGTTGTGCCAGTAGAACCATGTCTCACATTGCTGCCTTTGAGAAGCCAAACTTAATATATTGAAATGATAACTCATTTTTGCCATCAAGACACCCGCTCTCTTGGATCTGAGCAGACAAATAATTATAATCGATTGCATCGAAATGAACCTGTGTCTACTGTACAATACCTAAGTATTCAGGTCGATATTGAGAATCCAAGAACAAAAAAGAATGCTACTTACAATTCACCTTCGCCTCCAACTTTAGGAAGGGCATCTCTGTATCCCAGTCAAATGTTCTTGTAATCCTACGTATTGTGTCTTGAGCCTCCTGAATCCTGTGTCGAGATATCTCCTCATTTTTAATATTAGCCCTGTACTTCACAAAGCGGAACAATAAAGTGAGACAAGTAATGGTTTCAAGGCAACCCTTGCTCTTTTTCCAAAAGAAAAGCATCAAAAACGATTTCCAAACTGACTTCAGAAAACACTAAATTGAAGTTTCAAATTGTATGCACTGTAGTCGAGATTCAGGATATTGCGATAAGAGACGTGAATATCTGGTGGACTTTTGAGCAAGGAATCTCTGTTGAAAACATCCTTGAAGTGGCTGGCTGACTCATCCAGTCAGAATTTCAATGAATATGAAGGAAATGCGTTCGAATGGAAAAAGGACAAAAGAATTACTATCGTGCGTGCAAAGATAGAAGTGACCTTGGTTTCCACATCGCAGAAAAACTCCGAAGGATGAACATGCGAAATGAAAATTATGTTTCCCCAAAAATTGAGACTCTCAAAGGAATTCCTGGCAATAAGATACATTTTCTGCCTAGGCTAAAAATAATTAAAACGGTTATAGATGAAAATATGCATATTAGGTAATCGAGAAAAGCAAACATATCGCGTGCCACGCAATCAGGTTTTAGTTTGCAACTGTGGAGTGTTCATGGGCCACGTCTAATTTCTCGCGAATGAAATTTGACGAGGCACATGCCCATCGCATGTTTTATGTCCATACTTGGGGGTATACTTCGTTAATTTTTTAGCATGGCTGAAAATGAAGGAAGCATCTTCTGAGTGGCTCTAACCTGATGGTTCTCCCTCATGCATTTGCAGCAATGCACGATAAGACGCAAACAGTAATACAGAAGGCAAATAAAACTAAATAAGGGTGCCCAAGGCTTTCCCACTTCGAAATAAACAGACAGATTGCATTTAGTCCACCGAAACTGCTCATATTGTATAGGTGTCTATCGTACCTGTCATCAGTTCCTTCTTCATGCGTTCGACTGGGCTCTTCCAACAGGGTCGTCTACTCGAAGCTATCTTGTCTCCATAGAGGAAGGGAGGTGGTAACCCGTCGGTGAATTCCATCTTCCCTTTCTTGTTTTCACGCGGTTCCCCCTTCACCTGTGAGTGCATCGCGAAGCAACATCTGAAAGCGCCAACCATCCACTAGATCAGATGAAGGAGGAAAGAAACGGACGTTGCGGAATCGTGGCTCCTTCATGCAGGATAGTTTGGCCAACATCCGACACATTTTCTGGACTCGGATGTCTTTCAAGTGATGGAGAAACAGGGTGAGGATGGCGAGGGCCACCTCCATTGACACCAGGCAGATGCTCGCGAAGTAGAATTTCCCTGTAATTATCGTAACGGTGTCTTTGGCATCTTCAACTTTGTCAATCTCGAGTTGACACGTCATTCGAGTGCTTCTCCGTTCTCAATTTGTTTGAATGATAGAGTGCAGAATTGAACTCCCAAAAATGTTCAGGCACTTATTCCAATCCTGAAATCATGGTAGAGGAGGTCTGGTCTAAATGCAGGTTATGCAAGGGAAGAAATTAGTAGTTGCAGTCTCATGGTTTTTTTGCTTGCAAACGTCTCCAGCTGACATTTATGGTTGTCTTCACATCTATAGGGTAGGAAAAAACGGACGGTTTTAAACGATACACTTTACTGCACTCACTGCATATATATTTTAATGGTATTTGCGGAATTTGGAAGAGGAATAGATACATTTTAAAATGATGTATTTACCTTTCAAATGTCTTCAACAGTTTCAGAATTTCAGAAGTTAATATGAATTAGAAGCAAAAACTGCGTTGCCGCGCACTCGGACGCAAATGGCATGTGACCTTCAGCCGTCCCTTGTCCATCCGCTACGCTACAAAACCAAGCAGTTTTTGTTTGCTGTTCCTATCAGCTTCCGAATTCCTGAAAATTTTGAAGATGTTTTTAATGTAAGTACACAATGTTATAGCTTATTCATTCCTCTTCGAAATGCCGCAAACAGCATTAGCCCTTAATATGATGTTTAAATCTGTCATGGTGAAACGTTCCCAAGGAGGGTTCGCCTCTTTTCTAACATTTTATGAGGTTATATTTCTAGTTTTAGTTAAATGCGAATTCAAAACTCGTTATAGGAGTATAAACTCGAGAGAAAGTGGTAAATTTATTATACCAACACTAATTGTGACTCTCAGGAAAATAACTTCTGACACCTGTGGTACACTTCTACCTGAGAAATCCTCCAATTAAGGGGTTAACATATATGCAATGAGCGCAGTACAGTGTCTGGATGAAGACTGTCCGGGTTTTTTTTTTTTTGGCTCACGCTGCACCCTTTCCTTTTGGGGCAGTTTCCGCCCTGACGACCACGAATTTCGCTACTAAATTTATATTGCAATGGCATTTAGTCAGATCGACAAAATCGAGTCTTGGATCATGCGCACTGTCAAAGAGGATGGAGACTCAACTGATGACTACATCTTACCGATGAGAGGGAAGTTTTCGGAGGGCGGGAGGACATCGCGGATGCTCATGAGGAAGAAGATGATGGTGAGCATGGTGGAGATTCCCAGCGTCACCTTCTCCCCGCTCTCACACGGTACCAGGAATGTTAGCAGGGCTAGATCCAAACCGACCACACTCTATCGCTCGCCCTTCAGTTCTAATTACTTTCAGACATACCGATAAAGGTGATGTCATGCCGATGACGTTGATGTCAATCATGGGGAGGACATAGTTGATGACGAAGAAAGCAGCGCGGCGCTTGATCTGAATGACATAGTCCACCGTAGAGAATGGTTTGGGACAACACGGATCCTCTACCTCAAGCCATTTGGCGTCGTAAGATTCCAGCGTGAACTCTTCGTCCTCAATGTATGTCTTCAACTCGATCGTTTTGTTGTGGTCCAGCTTCATCTGAATCTGAGTCGTCTCGTCGTTTTAAGCAACAGTAACTCGTGCAGTGACCATAGATATCTTAAGAGGGTGTGCATGAAGAAATCGACATTTCAATAGGTCAGTTATTGAATACCTGTGTATATTTTTAAATTGTTATCTGAGACAATGGGTTAAAGCCTGGAGGGTTTCTCCTCCAGGTCACAGCTCCAAGAATGAACTTAATTGATAAAAAAAAGAAATGTGAAACAAGAGTAAAACTGGACAAAATTTAGGATGTCAATGCTAAGGATTCCAAATACTCGAATGGAAAATTTTTGGTCACGTTATCTTACTCTATCAATGTCACAAGGTCAATTAAAATTGTATCAAAAGGGCAAAATATGCATAAAATGCACAACGGGTTTAAGGACTGACACCTATCGCGCAACTGACTCGAGGGCAAACGAAGCAGCAAGTCACCATGTCCGCTTCAATTGGAGACCTATAGGTCATTTCACGTCAATTCGACCAGAGCGTAAGCTCGACCAGCACCGAATTGGAGGAAAATAGCCATACATGTAGCGGAATCGAATTAAAGAAACCCATTTCAACCAATTTTTTATATCTCCCACCAATCTCCAGATAAACGCATTTGACTGGCGCCAATTTTTGGCTCCATGTGCCTATACTTACCGGATTTGTGAAACTGTTTCTGCAATAAAATATCTTATAATTAAGATAGAAGCTTCATTCTGGTGTCATTTTAATTGCTGAATCGCCATCTTTAAATTGATTATAGACAATATCCTACAAAGATGAAACAAGAAATTCCACGTGACCGAACGGTTTCATCATGTTCAGTGTTGAAAAGCGGCACTTGCCACCTCTGGAATTCTTCGTTCCAATAATTTATTCAAAAGCGCATGTTATCCCCTTTCTAAGGATACCAAATTCGAGATTGGCACGCTTCGGATTATTGAGATATGGCTATTTGACTGATGCAACAGTACAAAAATTTCCCTTGACGGAACGGTTTGACCGGTTTCATTGAAACCGGTCAAACCGTTCCGTCAAGGGAAATTTTTGTACTGTTGCATCAGTCAAATAGCCATATCTCAATAATCCGAAGCGTGCCAATCTCGAATTTGGTATCCTTAGAAAGGGGATAACATGCGCTTTTGAATAAATTATTGGAACGAGGAATTCCAGAGGTGGCAAGTGCCGCTTTTCAACACTGAACATGATGAAACCGTTCGGTCACGTGGAATTTCTTGTTTTATCTTTGTAGGATATTGTCTATAATCAATTTAAAGATGGCGATTTAGCAATTAAAATGACACCAGAATGAAGCTTCTATCTTAATTATAAGATATTTCATTGCAGAAACAGTTTCACAATTCCAGTAAGGGCACATGGAGCCAAAAATTGGCACCCGTCAAATGCGTTTATCTGGAGATTGGTGGGAGATATAAAAAATTGGTTGAATTGGGTTTCCTTAATTCGATTCCGCTACATGTATGGCTATTTTCCTCCAATTCGGTGCTGGTCGAGCTTACGCTCTGGTCGAATTGGCGTGGAATGACCCCCGTTCAATCGATACAGTGCGGATGCTATAACATGTGTTGCACGGCTTTGCACAACCTGCACGTAATCAATTTAACTCAACTCTTAAAAGAATGATGCCCTTGAATCGACCTCGTCTGTCTGTTTCATCCGGGGAGTATGGATCTTCGGTCCCAGTGCCTCGTCCGAGTGCAACATCGACTCTCAACCCTTGTGTAGCGGCAACCAGGGTAGTCGCAGTGGGTGACAAGGATGCCATGGGTACTAAGAGCATATTTTGGGAAGGGTGGGCGAAAAAGGCGAGGAAAGCTAGGAGGTCACAATACTCCATCATAATCGACGTGTAATCGAGAAGCGCTTCATGGAGTAGGCAAATATATATTATCAGACAAACCGTCCCAATTATGCCCACATGTAACATATTAGATTAAAATTTATTGATGTTGCTTTTTCCTGGTGAACAAGTTCACCAAGAGAGTACATGTCCAGGGAGGATACCAAAATCAGCCATGTCACTGCCATGAACATCCTAATTGCTTTGCCCATAATATGCGTATGTCAACAATCTGTCATTAAAAAATGTAAAATGGGTCATTATAAACCCTGAGCATTATTAAATGTCGTGCTTGGAGTCATTTTAAATACTGAGCCATACTTTTTCCCCGGTGCAACCGGAGACAAGGCACAGTTTATCGCATGAGAGGGAAAAATGAAGAGTTTCGCTTCATTTTCTTCATTTGATTGTCAAGATGAGTGATGGTTAAAAATAATATTTTCACGATTGAACTAAATGGCCCTGATGTTCTTATTTTCAGATATACATTATTGTGAACGAAGGTCGGTGGATTGTGTCAAGGGTGTAACCAATATCTAGCAGCCCGGAAGGGGTGCCGTTGACAAAAAATGTTGAAAGAAACTTAGAACCGGAGTACAAAATAGGTGAGTTAGGAACCCAGAGAGGGAGTGAGCAAGTTACTCTGGTCTCGTCTTGGGTCCATGACATGAAGCGCATCGTGCAATTCTGGATGTCGAACGGGAAGTAAGAGACGTCCACGTCGCAAACAGAGCGGAAAATGGCGGCCGTTAGCAGGGTGACGTCGCCCGTCGAGCTCACGATTGCGTTCGTCGTCAGCACCCGATTGCTGTAGTCCATCGCCGCGCTGCAACACGTAATGAGTCCCATTTTGCATCTCAAGCAGCACAGAACGTCCATGTGACGTTGCCGAAACGTAATTTTGCGATAAACAAGATGTCGTCGTGATATCATCGCGAACGTCGCCGTGATATCGCCATGTCCCTAAATGTACTTGTTGATGCAACGTTGGGGAAAGTTGCTTTCAGATATTCTGAGTCGATGGTGCGTCATTTTCACGTATTTGTGACGTCAAGTTCCCTTTTTTGTTAACCCGCGAGTTACATGAGTTGTGCCTGAAGACCTGATGTTAATGTATGATGACCTATCAAGGAATGTTCCGAGAATTAAACTCTAAGAAAAATATCTGGAAAATGCAGAGTAAGGCAAAGGCAAAAAGTTGCCTTCTAATACGAAGAAAAGGGAATTTCGGCTTCATTGTGGAGACGACTTACTGAAAAACCTCACTTCAAACTCATGAAGTCTCTTGAGACCTCACGACTTTCTCATGAGGTGACACGACTTTCTCATGAGGAAATCCTCATGATGTAATCCTCATGAGGTACATAACGAGGTCTCACGACCTTCTCATGAGTATTGTGTGGTTCCTCATGAGGCTTTGAAACTTCCTCATGAGGATGGAGGCCTCATGAGACCTTATGACATCATCATAAGACCTCTTGTTCGAAAACCTCATGAGACAACAATCCACCTTCCTTCGTATATGATTTTGGACTCTTTTAAGGATTCGCGGGACCTTGCAAGCTGAGTCCCAAGAAACCTTTCGTGGCTATTGGGCCACAAGGCAAGTGGCGCCTCTATGCGAAAACCCCATGAACCTCATGAGATATCTGTTCCAAACCTCATGAGGTCATTCTCATGAGACCTCTGTCTCTTGTCAAAGGTTTCCTTTTGAGATTCTCATGGTGTTTCCTTTTGAGATTCTCATGAGGTTTTTCAGCAGGGTGATCTCTCTCGTTTCCTCACATAGACTGAGAAAGCATTGGAATCTCTGTGCGAAAAAATTACGAAGAGTTTTCCTTTCATCATCCCGTAAATTGCAATTCCTTTAGTTTCGATAGGGGTTGTTTCGTTCCTGTTGGTAAATTTTCGTGTCTTCCCGTGAGTTCTTCCGCCTTATTCAGGGATTCCTTGTTTGCGTTAATTACTCAAGGACATCTTGCTTCCTGTCGGAACACTTTTGGGAAAAACATTAAATTCCCTTTCATTTTGTGTCTTGCCTTCATTAACCTGTGCGTTATGGTGGTGTGTGGGTAGTGGAATAATACTATGAGAATTTTGGGCGATTCTTTCACGGAGAAGTTTTAAGTACAATTAGCAATATACCTTTCCAAAAAAATAATAATGCAGTCGACTCCGCATATTGAAATACTTACGGGACCAGCGAATTTTATTCTATAATCCGAAGTATTACAATAAACGAAACTATCTTCTGTACCGTACCGTATATCGGGACCGTGGAAAGGTACTCCACTAAGCGGTATTCCATTACGCGTAGTCGACTGTAACATGAACGTTATAGGCAAGGAAAAGAGAATGTGGTTGCCCTCGCAGATCACAGATCCCTCACTCCAAGGCAGTCAAGTCCTTTTTGCTTCCCTTCTCACACTTTCCTAATGACCCTGTCTCATTTCCGTCCTAGCTGGGATGCGAATTCAGAGAAGGAGGGTGATGTTAAGCTCTAGCTCGAATGGGGCTCAGGATTCTGGGCGATTTTCTCTTTCCCACAAGGGATATCCCACTGCTCAAGGTTTTTCCTTGGAATGGTATATTGCCTCACGCTGTCATTCAGTTCATCATATCGCATCCCAATTTCGTCGCTCTCTGTCCTTCCTCAAAAGGAGAGTGTAAAGGGTGAATGTGTGTTGCAGAAGTATTACTTATATATAACTAATAACTTAAGATATACTGTTCTAAATATAATACAAACCGTACTATTTAAGCTCGGACATTGAATTTAGTACCCTTAGACATAATATTCTAGGGGAAAAAAATAAGAAATTCTAAATAATAACATAGAATACCATTTCAGAGGGAATACGAGAATAAAATTATTTCCAGAGAATAGGGAAAATCGAATTTTGCAAGTTCCTCATCCATAAATTGTTACTATGTAGAATCTAAAAGTCCGGAAATTATTGCATGGAAATGCATGCAGTATACTCATATTAACATACGTAGTCTCAGGCTTCCATATTAATTCTAATGCATGTATACACGACGGCAGCAGCAACGAGCGGAAAATCGAAAATGCGCATGAGCCAGGACTGCATTTCTTTCGCTGATGCGTTAAAGTGGCAGTGCTAGTTAAAGAGTTAAGAAAAGCACAAAAATCGGACGTAGATCAGAACTGATAGTATTTGATATTCATATGCACAAATTGAATATAATACCCCGACTCTCTCTATCCTACATCTTTTCCAGAAAAACGTTTATTCCATCATGTCAGCAATTTTTGTCCTCAAATTCTTGAACTTGGGTATCGATTTCGTCGAGACCACGGGGAATGTTAATAGATCTCGAGGAGAATACATTACAAGGATTATTATAATTGACATTAAGGATAAATTATAATTGTATCCATGACTTCGGTTGACGCGAGGAAGCACCTTCCCGTAGGAGTTTATTCTGCTTCCATGATTGATGGTGAAATCAGGAACAAGTTCTGAGAAATCGGGGATGCTACCCTATTATCTGCAATATAAGCTGACCATGAACCGCTAAACTTGGAGCTGTCAAATTCCTCATCTTATTTTATCTCCTTTTCTCTTTTTGACAAATGCCGCTCGAGGTGCAGCCTGAAGCATCAAACAGACAGTATGCATTTGCCAGAACTCTCAAAGGTTGAAACCCCAATACCTATTGTAGAGGATGATGTCCGGAGTCCAGATTGAGTCATACGGTATCATGGTCTGCTTGATTCCACCATAATCACTTGCGTTCCATTTCAGATGGGCATCGTTCCATCGTTGAACGACCTCCACGTTGGTCACGAGGGCCTGGTTCCTCTCGTCCTATAGGACATCACCGCTCGTACCTTAGGTATCCCCGTGACGGTAACCTAAATGACGTAACATACGCAACCGAAACTGACCAATTCGATGATCCGAAAGAGAATGAGCCGAAAGGAGACCACGAGTGAGGTATTAGGTGTCTCGACGGGGAGAACCTTAATGTAATTTGTTAGGAGGTCCTCCATTAGCTGCCTTTCCACATTGCTTCCCTCCAGAAGCCTTCCATCCCAAAGGAGGAAGAAGAGGAAATACAGACCGTGCCGCATGTCGACCGGGTGAATTCCACCTTCTCACTGACATAATAATGGACAAATGGATCTGACACTGCCAGAAGGATGAAGAATATGTCCTGTCCTATTAGTATGATCGTGTCCCTCACGAACGCTGGTGTTGATAGCAACCGTCGCGGATGACGAAATCGATATGAATCAACAATGGGGAGGTAAGAGGGTTTTTTTTTTACTTGCGGTCGCAACAATAAAAAAAACAATGCCTCTTACTCATACAATTACGAACGCTAGTATCATTAGCCATGATTATGGATGACAAGAACCGCCGAGCGAAAGGGGAGATGGAAACGATAATGATAATAATAATAATTATTCCTCAAATTGTGTCCATCACGAACGCTTTTGTTGCTGGACATGATAGGTGACAAAATCGACTAGCAGAAACAAAGGACTGAATTACAGTTTCTGCAAGTGAAGTAGCATTCGGAACCAGCTATCTCCGCCGATACAGACCGGCCGATACAGTGGTAGTCATATCGCTGATTCTCACGGAAAAAGAAAAGAAAGATGAAAAAAGGCAACAGAAATGGTTACAGGATAATCCTCTCAAGACCCAGATATGAGAAGATCGACTAGATGTCTATCAAGATCTAAAATGGGGCTATATATGGAGAAATTGGGTGGCATAGGAATCGAATCATTCAAAAGTGGTCAGTCCTTGGACGGAGTGAGAGATTGAGTTCGTGGATCCATGGAGTTTGTGAAGAGCGAAAGGGGAAAGAATCTTCTTGTTTCAGAGCGGTGTGGCTCACAAAGGGCAAAATAAGCCGGGATGGACGAAGAATGTATTGGAAGTATAACATGAGTTTTTAAGAAGTGCTGTCAAGGAAAACACTTCAATAGCAAGCCTCTTTCGACAATTAAATCAAAATGAAAATTTTATCAAGTAGGGTTGTTCTGTTGTTTGTCATTCTCTTCAAAGACAAGCAAGGAGGTAGACCATAAATCGACCCCACGACATGAAGGAGACTGGGTGCCTTTTTATTTTCGGCTATGATTCCGGAGACAGAAAAAGCGTTATTTGAGCAGGAACACTCAGATGAGGACTTCACTGGTAGCTGAATTTTAGAAAATCCAGAAAAAGGGACATTTATTCACGGAAGAAAGGTACGGTCGATTGCCCTCCATCCGCGACCGTGAGTTTGTTGATATGTGGGGAACTGACCGTTCGGGGAATTTGCAGTTTGAGGAACTGCCCGACTCGGTTCGGGGAATTGACCAGACACGAGCTGCGCGGGCTTCACCCCCCCGGGGGGGGGGGGGGGGGGGGGGGGTCTCGCCCTCGTTGAGAATTCACGGAAATCCAACCCACCCCCTCTTTCCCCCTTTAGCCCTCTTTGCCGAATCCCTACCTATGCGATTGATTCAATGTTCAAAGTTCGTGGTTAAAGGACGTTAACCTCTCTTAAAGTTGGTTTCTTTTTGTAGCATACCTAGGCCTAGTCGCATACTGCATTGTCCACCTAATTCCCATTCACTCATATCTATTGTTCCCTTTTTCATTGTTCATGAAGGCATCTAACCTTCTCTCGTCGCAAATCACGTCGCGGGGCAGCCACTATACCGACGCTTAACGCATTCCCCGGATTCACTACGCTACAAGTAAAGAAGTGCTGACGTAACTTGAGCCGCACCTGTGGTTTAGGCAATTCAAGTTGATTTCTTCTCTCTCTGCCGCTGCCATCGAACAGGAAAACCTTCCATTCTAAACGTCGTATTTTCCCTTAATGATGTTAAATGCTTGGATGAGGATCCCACTCGTTAAACCTTCTCTCGAGCGAGTAGAGCCCCAATTCTTCTAAGCGCTTCTCATATGGAAGTCTTGGAACCTCCTTGATGATTATCTAGGCTCGCCTCTGGACCCTCTCAGACGCCGTTAACTCAAGTTTATTTTGTAGGACTCCAAAATTGAACGCAGCACTCTAAATGGGGTCTCACCAGAGTCGTATACAAAAGTGGAATAAGTCGCGAGCTCTTATTGCCTATGGAACGTAGAACGAAACCTAGGATCCAGTTACATTTAGCTAACGTCGCTTACACGTGCGAGAATTTGAGTTCTGCGCAGAGGGCAAGCCACGGCTTTCGTGTTCGCAACTTCCTTCGGAACTGCACGTCCCTCCTGACCGCCGACAGCTTTCATGCTCAGAAGGCCGGGTTACATAACGAGTTCTACGCTTCCGTCTTCACGAACGAATCCGACGACGCATCAGCATTGGAGGAGGTCACCTCTACGAGCATCGCGGATATTTTCATCATCGAGGAATATATTATAACTAGGACAGGGAAGTTGTCGGCAGGCGCGGTAACCGGGCTCGATGGGATTCCAGCGAATCATCTGGGAAATATCGGTACTATTAAGAATGAAGTAGCTTTTCCCGTGGAGAAGTGCCTCGGGACGAGAAACTAGTGAACGTTTGGTATCGATTGTTAAGAAGGGTGAAAAGAGTGATCACAAATTACAGGCTGGTGAACCTCACGAGTATTCCAGTGAAGATCACGAAGAGCACCTTAAGAGATCACTTAGACTTCCTTGAAGGTAAAAGTCTTTGGGTGTCTGGAATAGGTGGGAATCAGCGCCTCCATCGATATTCTTTGGAGGGCGTCTCTGATGGGGCAAAGTTGGCTCCCCAATTCCATCAATGGATCTCACCGTCAATTTAGTCTCATCCCAGAATTTACCGAACTTTTTCGCTTCTCTTCCCCTTGAGAATGGTAGAAAGCATTTCAATCCGGCTCTTTACTTCATCGAGGGACAAACGAGGAGACTGAATTCCTGCATTTGTGGCTTCCATTGGTTCAAAGACATGAACGAAA